TACTAACACCTCTTCAACTTTATGAGTTTGACAAATTACTCTCTCAACGTTTAATCTTAACAATTCACACCCTAAACTTTAAAATTTATTACAAGTTTGGTCAAATTGAAAATGAAATTAAAAATTTAGACAGTTTCTTCCATATGAATGTTTGATGAGGCTAATTCTAGTCTTTTTACATGGAATTAGTATCATGAGTGAAAAGATTTTTGAAAGTGTGGATTAACCGTTTTACAGTCATTGAATTTTGTAAAGACAATAGGATCACAAGAGAGGTGGAAAGAACCCGAGAAAATTGATGAACTTACCCTTAAAGTGTATGGGTCTGAATTTTTACCTTTTACTCTTGATAAATACTCTTTTAGTTATTTGACTAAAAAGAAATTCATCAAGAGTAATAGGTAAAAGTCCAGATTTAGACACTTTAAGAGTATTTGTCTTCTTTTCTCAAAGAACCCTCAATAGAGCTGGGCTTAGCTAAAAGGATGAATATATGAATGGTCATCATGACAAATACAAAGTACATGGATCAAGATTTTTACTCTTTACTCTTAATTCATAACCTTTTTAGTTAAATAATTATACTAATAAAAGAGTATTTATTAAGAGTAAAAAATAAAAGTCTAGACTCAATGCACGGTGAATTTTCTATTTTTTCATATGACATCGCCTACTATTGCTATCGATCCGAGATGGGCCTTTGGATAGGCCTAATAGAGATTTCCTTCTCATTCTTGAACCCAACGCAATCACATAAATATGAGCCAGCGCAGAGGATGCATTATGGATAATCAGGCGCGCTCAGCCGTCAATCCACAACGTTTCATAGGTCTTCATAGGTGGTCAAAATAATCCAATCAAATCAACTACCATCTAGAGAAGCTGAAGAAAGGATTAATCCAAGCAACAAAAAAACACATTACTGACATAACCCCTACTTTTTAAAAAAAAAAAAAAGAAAAAAATCTTTCTCCAATGAGTATGAATATCTATGCCGCTTGTTTTGTTGTGCGCAGATGACTTGCCCAGCAGCTTCATCATATTATTGTTGGTAGACAAAGGATCTTGTGTTGGTCTTTTCTTAATCTCTTTTTCAATCTCAAAGGACCCCTCCACCACAACCACTCCCACTTGTTTGATTATAACTCTACCCTACAATATATATTTTTTTCCTTTTTGATTCATCCTAATCTACCTAATTACATCTTTCTATGTATGCCACATTAAACGATGCATTAGCCAACAATTTTCCCATGGAAGACGGCCTCGATTAGATCAGTCATACCGACCAAAAAAAATACTCTTTGCTGACATGTATTACAGATTACAAACACAGAATTTTTTTTACCGAGCACTTTTATTTATTTTCATAGAGTTAAAATTCCGTTACTCATATAAGATGAGTTCCATTAAATGAATAAGTTGAATTTAACATAGTGAGACTCACTATTTACATGAGTACGAGATTTTTATTCCGGTAAAGATGAATATCATTTTTTCTTACTCAATATTTCTTTGAGGTAGGGCCCCACATATATCGATAGTATTCTTTGATTGATCCAGTACTGTAGTTCTAGAGGCTGCACATTTGGAAATGGTCAGCCAAACCAAAAACGCTGGACCCATCTCCATTGTAATCTCCAACAGTCACAGTATTATCCCATATACTGGAAAAGTTATATAGCAAGTACTGAATGTCTTCCCGACTCAAAAGTTTTCCGCCGGGGCATTGTTACTTGACTTTTTTTTTTTAATCATATAAATACTTTGACTTAAATCATATATGCTTACGCAACAGAAAATTCGCACGCACAAAAATTTTGAGAGCTTGGACAAATTATAAGGAAGAAAATGTAGAAAACTGCCTTGGAAACACACATGACTGTACACAAGATACAGGTTACCCTAATTATTAATAAGGCACCGTAATTAGGTTTCAAAATCTGTCGGATTCTCTTCTTTGTAAGTTAAGGATTTCATTCCCTATAATTAGTGTTTTCGCATTTATTAGTATACGAATATTTCTTTTCGTAATATGCATCATGTTTTCCTTTCCACGTTTGCTTTTGCATTACTTCAAGCAAATGATAAGTCCCAATAAAACAAACTTGATCCATACGTATGAGAAATCTCAACTGGAACGCAGCACATATATGATCCTTTTTTCAATGCGTAACTCTCAGTGCCTCAAACCTGAAGAAGCTAGCTAGATTATAACTTTATATATATATATATAACTATATGTATATATAGGTAAAGTATTCTTAAGTTCGGTATCCGTGCAATCTGACAAATGTAATTCTTTTCGTATTTTCATGTACGTGTACTGCGTGTAACATTTGGTTTGTTTAAGCATGTACTCAATATTACATATATATTGAACTACATTTTTTAAATATTACACTTAAACAAACTATACAAATGAACGATTTTATATAAGAATACAAAAAAGCTACATTTACCTAATTATATAGTCCGAATTTCGGACTTAAGACATTTCTCTAGACACACCCATATTATCTGCTATGGTTAATGCATAAATCAATGCTGTAGCTGGGTAGGGCTTGCCTTTTTGCTAACATGGAAGTGCCAATCATTAATACTCTGTTTTGTAGGAGAGAAAGAAAATGCATTAAAAAAATAAAATGGGAAGGAAATGAATGAAGTTGATTTTTTTTATAGTATTTGGTATAATGAGAGGAAAGAAAATACGTAATAGCCTAAATGACTATTTTATCAGTTGTTTAATATTAATTTAGATTTTAAAATAGGATCACAAAAGTAAATTTAGCCATCCATGAATAGATTTGAGTTTTCCTCTCAATGTTAGAAAGATAAAAAATGGTGGGCCCCATTATAATATTTTTTCCTGTCATATTTTCCTTTCTCTCTTCTCTTCTTTCTTACCAACAACTAACTCTGTAATTTTCCATCTAATGATCCCTCTACCTATTTCCTTCTTTCTACTTTTTTACCATACCAAACATAGTGTAAATATGGGACAACAAAAGTAGGTAAGCTTCATTTATATCATGGATATATGCTATATATGTATATATGGCTTAGTTGGCAACAAAGAACAAATATATAGTTATCATAATAGTGATTATTACTACTTTTCGTTGAGTCGGCAAATAATATGTTCTGTTTTGTTTTCTTGAAAATTTGGGGGTACTTCTAATAGCAATTCATTCGTGTGTCTATTTTTTTCTATACATTTTGTTTACATGGTTTCAACTTTTAGTTTAAGTTTTTTTTTTTTTTTTTTTTTTTTTTTTTTTTTTTTTTTTTTTTTTACTTACTTACTTTACAGACACCCCTTATTTCTTTTTTTTAAATTTAACAATTTGGTCTTTATTAATTTTTTCCTGACAATTGACCCTTTCAACTTAAAAACCCTTTACAATTAAGGTTCAATCAAAAATGACATTTGCTTTTCTAACAATTTTAATTATGTGAATGCTCATGTGAGCGTCTGTTGAGAGCAATAAAGATCATTTCTCACTCTTAGAGCGTCAATTGAAGGCAATAACTCTTAGAAACTAAGAGTTATTTATCACAGCTGATTGTGTTCAGATATATTAGATGGTTCTGAATTCAATATAGCCAAACAAATAGGATGAGAAATGACCTTTATTGTCCTTAATAAATGCTCACGTGTGCGTCACGTGATTAGAATCATAAAAAAATAGACACCGTTTTTTATTAGATCTTAATTGTAAATTTTTAAAAGCTAAAGGGTCAATTGTTAGGAAAAAAACAAGGATTAAATTCCCAAATTCAAAAAAATTAGGGAATGTTCATGTAAAAGAGCCTTAAAATGTGTTATTTTTACAATCTAAGGTACAACTCAAACTTTTTTATGTGAGAAAAAATACTATAAAAAAAATTAAATTTAAATTTTTATGAGAAAAATACTATAATAAAAGAACTTGAGTTTTTCTCACTGTAGTAAAGAATTTAAATTTTAAAAAGAATAAGGACTTATTTAACTCTTTGGGGTCCATCGTGTCCTACTCGGAGGCACTGCTCAAATTTTTTTCCTCACCCCTTTTTGTCAGGGAAAGGGAATTATTCTTGCTCGAATTATTACTTGACAAGTCAGTGATAGGATCATAATTGAGAAAATTAGGGAACACTTAAGCTGCGAGGGCACGTAATTAAGTGGGCCCTATCTTATTTATGTATTTTATAATATATTGTATAATCGATAAGCAAAAGGGCCTCCATGGTAGAGATTCGCATTCATTCTTTCTTTTCCATGTTGGTTGCTTCATCAATGAAACATGAATATTCATGTCAGTGAATTTACGTAAAAGCCAACTACGACATGATGAATCGTTTTCTTCTTTCCTTTGGGTAGATGAAGTAATGATTTCTCTTCACCAATTTTGGAGAACCTTTTTTTTTTTTTTTTTTAACTCTTTGACTAAATTACTCTTTGATGCCATAAACTCCATAAACCTTGTGGAATTTGTTTGTTCCTCTTGCCCCTGGTTTACGGGGAAGAGAGACTCATTATTAAGGAATGAAGTCCACAAAGAGACTTGACCCCAGTCTACCATTTGCATCAAGAGTCATGATATGACCCCGGTTGCTTTTGGACTTAAATGACATTTTTTCATGGACTTTAAACTCAGCCAAAAAATAATAATAATAAATTGCACAAAATTTTATCTTCTAAAAAGGAGAAAACCCCAACAAATTACCAAGCTACAAGAAGCTTCTAAAACATTCGACATATATCCAACTATGACTAAAATAGAAGCAAGAATATTATATCATGCCATTTCAAAACCAAGGCCATACTTGTAACTTCCTCTCCAAGCAACTCATTTCCCTTGTTCTCGTCCAATATGTCAGTGTAGTTTGGTGAGCCTTAAGTTTGTTACTATATATAAATTCAATAACGCAAAATCTTGAATAATTAAGCAAAAAAACACAACACAAAATATATCATCTAGTACTAAATAATTCGTACTTATTAGCTGATCCAAATTATGAGGCCTCCAAACAACTCCACCGGAGCTTCTAGTAGTACTACCACCGTAGAAGGCGGATTCCGGCACTGGAACTCTCCCGTTCCTTACCTATTCGGCGGTCTAGCACTCATGCTGGGCCTCATCACGGTGGCCTTGGTGATCTTGGCTTGTTCATACCGCAAGTCTTCTCCGGCGCCAACGCCAAACTCCGGCCGCGGCACCACCAGCTCCGGAGAATTAGAAAAACCGGCGGTGCAAGTTGATGTGAATGTGGGCTCCGATGAGCCGAAGATTGTTGTTATCATGGCTGGAGACGATAAGCCCACGTACTTGGCTAAGCCTGTCGCCTGTTCGACTCGTCATGATCACGGCGATCAATCATGATCAACTCATTCTTAGAGAAAAATTGATCATGAAAACGTCATGATCACTTTGTGAACTGTTTTCTTTTCTCTCTTTTTCTTTTTCTTTTTCTTTTTCTTTTTTTTTCCTTTTTAGGTTACTTGGTTTTTAATTAAGTTAGACTTAATTATATGGAAACTACTTAATTTGTTGATTTCTTCAGTTTGCGGGAAAATATGGCATATTTGAGAATTTTTGTGCAATGACCGCCAAGTTAAGGTCATTTTTGGGATCTTTAGTTATTTCATTTAAATCAGGATATACTGTTTAGGTTTTTTTTTAATTTAACAAATAACTGTTTAGTATTTAATTTCATATATATTTATTTCCGAGTTAGACTATTTCTCGAATTAGTAAAGCTTTAGGTTTTATTTCTATATAAATTTATAGGTCATTTGATGCAATTGGTAAAAATTGTATTGATGGGCACTCTTCGAGTCAGTGTGAAACTCCAAATTAATCAAAGGTTCTTCTTCTTACATAATCCTCCCCAAACAAAGGGAATTCCCATTTATACGAATCACTCCTAATGAGGATTCTTCCAGCACAGCAAATTGGAAATAACAACAAAAAAAAGAAATAGAAATAGCAAGATTCAGTTAGGAAGATCCGCTTTTCTCGCAACAGAATCACGCCCTCACAAAGTCATTGAACTTGCTGGGCACCTTGCGAACTCTGACCTCACGCGAATGGCTCTCATCAGTTCCCAGATGCTTTGATGCTTCTCCTTCCTCTTTGCTGGTGCTCCCCTCTAAACGACTTGTCGTTTCAGTTAGAAGTCCTTCCCCGTGGGCCTTAGTGTCAGCCCACCTCCTCAACTGCTTTTGAACCCGAGGCCCATCAAGTACCAGGCCAGCCCAGCTATCACTCCCCTCCCTATCGACAAAGACCTTGTCCTCAAGGTCGGGTAGGTTGTACAGCTTGCTGAACTCGGTGAGTTCCTCCCAAGTGGCATCTTCCAGGGGACTGTGAGACCATTGGACAAGCACCTGCTTCACTGGTTTTCCCCTTATGAACATGTTGCGACTTGTCAAAATGGCCATCGGAGTTACCATTGGTCTATTAGTCCGACTTAACTCCGGAAGTGGGTAGCTGATTGGATTTGAAGACTCCCCCTTGAAGGCCTTAAGTAAGGACACGTGAAACGTGGGGTGAATTCTGCTTCCCTGCGGCAGCCCGAGAGTGTACGCCACAGGACCTACCCGAGCGAGGACTGGAAACGGACCGAAGTAACGTCGGCAGAGCTTCGAGTTCAAGCGCTTGGCCACTGTAGTTTGCCTGTACGGTTGGAGTTTAACCAGGACTAGTTCACCTACCTGGAACTGTATGTCCTTGCGTTTTTGGTTGGCCATTTGCTGCATCCGGTTTCGGGCACGTGATAGGTTTTGTTTCAAGCTTTGTAAAATGTCGTCTCTGGTGCAAAGGCTCTCTTCCACTGCCTGGACTGGTGACGAACCTCGTACATAAGAGGGAATGGTTGGAGGTGGTTGCCCGTATAGGGCCTGGAACGGCGACATGCCAATGGTCGAGTGATGGCTAGAGTTGTAATGATACTCCGCCCAACTCAAATGTGTAAACCACTGCCCGGGGTTCTCGGTAGTAAAAGCCCGTAGGTACTGCTCTAAGTAACGATTCAATACCTCTGACTGACCATCTGTCTAGGGGTGATAAGCAGAACTCATTCTCAGTCTTGTGCCCATGAACTCAAACAATTTCTACAAAACTGGCTAGTGAAGACAGGGTCCCGATCAGAAACGATTGTCCGTGGAAGTCCGTGCAGCTTGATAACCATGTTACAGAATAATTCAGCTATCTTAGTAGCCGTGTAATGCGTTGGCAACCCTCCAAAATGTGCGTACTTAGTACGTCGATCAATGACCATTAAAATTGTAGTGTTTCCCTTAGACAGTGGCAGTCCGACGATGAAGTCAAGGGATAAGTCCTCCCAGACCCTCTCCGGAATCTCCAATGGCTGGAGCAAACCGTATGGTGCGGTGGTAGAGTATTTGATGGATTGGCAAGTTGGGCACTTGGCCACAAACTCCTTCACATCCCGACGCATCCCAATCCAGAAAAAATTGGTAGCAAGCCGCTGGTATGTTTTCTCAACACCGGCGTGTCCTCCTGTTGGGGACTCATGGAATTCCTGGAGCATGAGTTCCTTCATGGTCGACTCCTTACTGAGGAAAAAACGGTTCCTATGCATCATCACCCCATCCCTCATTGTGAATGAAGGATCCTCCAAAGTCCCGTCTTGGAGCTGCTGCTGTAATGCTCTTAAGTCAGCACAATTTAGGTTCTCTTCTCGCAGGTCCCCCAGAAAATGGTATTGCCCTGTCGATAGAGCAGCCACCATGTGTGGCCAGTCTGACTCATGGCGCCTGGACAACGCGTCAGCCGCTGAGTTTTCCACCCCGGCCTTGTACTCGATTGTGAAATGGTACCCTAATAGTTTCCTTAAATAGTGCTGCTGCTCAGGGGTTTGTATGACTTGAGTCATTATCTCCTTCAAACTCTTGTGATCGGTACGGATAATGAAGTGCCTACCTAATAGGTACTGGCGCCATTTGGTCACGGATTCCACTACCGCTCTTAACTCACGCAAGTAGGCCGAAGCTGCCATCATCCTCGGCCCTAGTTTCTTGCTGAAAAATGCCACCGAATGCCCTTCCTGCATCAACACTCCTCCGATCCCCACCTTAGACGCGTCCGTCTCAACTACGAATGTTTTTGTGAAGTCGGGTAAACATAGCACCGGGGTCACCATCATGGTTTTCTTCAACTGCTCGAAGGCCGCTGTCACCCTATCGTCCCACTTGAAATTATCTTTTTTTAATAGCTCAATAAGAGGAGCAGCTATGGTCGCATATTGGGATACAAATCTCCAGTAGTAACCGGTAAGTCCCAGGAAACCCCGCAGCTGTTTCAGATTTTTTGGTTGTGGCTAACTTGTCATGGCTTCAATCTTGGACGGATCTGCCTGGACCCCCTCTTTCGAAACCAGGTGCCCTAGATACTCAATGGAGCTTTGGAAGAATTGACATTTACTTCCCTTGGTGAAAAAACTGTGAGACAAGAGACACTGTAACACGGTCTCCAAATGCTGGACATGCTCCTCCAGGCTTGTGCTGTAGACTAGTATATCGTCGAAGAACACAATCACGAACTTCCGCAAGTATGGCTTGAAGATCTGATTCATGGCTGCCTGAAAAGTCGAAGGGGCATTAGACAGGCCACACGGCATCACGACGAATTCATAGTGCCCGTCGTGTGTACGAAACGCCGTCTTGTGCACGTCCCTGCGGTCCATCCGGATTTGGTGGTATCCAGCTCTAAGATCCAATTTGGAAAATACCACTGCTCCGCCTAGCTCGTCTAGGAGCTCGTCTATGGTTGGGATTGGGAAACGATCCCTGACAGTGACTGCGTTGAGGGCCCTATAATCGACACAAAACCTCCATGTTCCATCTTTTTTCTTGACCAACAACACCGGCGACGAATAAGGGCTGCTGCTATGCCTTATGAACCCATTCTCCATCATTTCCTTGACAATCTTCTCCATGACATCCTTCTGGAAATAGGGGTACCGATAGGGCCTAACGTTCACCGGAGACGTTCCCGGCTGTAAATGTATTCTATGGTCCACATTACGTATCGGTGGAAGCTGTTTTGGCTCTTCAAAAACGGCTTGAAACCGCTTGAGGAGCCCACGTCCCAAACTTGGTAAGGACTCGTCCAATCGGACTAGTTCATCCTCTTTCGGCTCCCCATTCGACCCCTCTCTCTCTGTGACAGTTTCCACCCTGTACACGCTGCTCACTGCTCCGCCGTGAATTAAAGCACTGAATTGGGTGAATGTTAATTGGCGAGTGGGCAAATCACTGCTGCCTGCTAACCTTACTGTTTTTCCCTTCCACTGAAATTCCATTGTCAGTTTGTCATGGTCATGAATACAGGGGCCCAAGGTCCGCAACCACTGCATTCCCAGTACCACATCCAAGCCCCAAATTGGAAGGACATATAAATCTACCACAAAACTGTTTCCCTGTAGGTCTAACGCCACCCCCTTGCACAGCCGGTCACAAACTAAGTATTGTCCATTGCCCATATATACCTTAAATTTCTTGGACCCTTCGCATGACAACCCCAATTTCTCAACTAGAGCCTCTTGGATAAAATTATTGTTACTTCCCGTATCCACTAAAACTTCTAAAGTTTCTGTTCCCTGTTTGGCCGAGATCCTAAATATTCTAGGATTTACAGAATTAGACAGGGTGTTAAGACTTACCTCAATGTCAACCTCCTCCGTGGCACTGTCAGGCGATTGCCGGTCTTCATCCGCGTGGCCGTCGTCCTCCTCCTCTCCTATCATGAGCAATACTCGATTCTTACACTTGTGGTTCATATGGTACTTTTCGTCACAGCTGAAACAAATCCCCTTTTCTCTCTTCTCTTGTATCTCCGCTGGAGTTAGGCATTTAATGGGAAATTTGGTTTCTCCTCGAGGTGGTCCTCCTCCCCTGGAAAAACCCGAGGTACTCCCCATGCCCTGCGCTCCCGTCCGTGTCATCGGGGTCCCTCCCGACGCCCCCACCCGACTCGTACCCACTTCTGTAGCGCGATGTCCGTCCCTTTTTGCCCTTCCCATCAGGTCATTATTACGCTCCTCAAAAAGTTGAGCCTGGGCCATGGCTTCAACCAGAGAAAGAGGCCGAGACATCAATAGATCCCGGCGAATGTCGGTCATTAAACCCCAGATAAAAAAGTCCATAAACATGACATCAGAAACGCCCGTTATCCGCATCATTAGGCGCTCAAACTCTGCCCGAAATTGCGCAATCGTTCCTGTCTGAACAAGCTTGGAGATTCTCCCCAAGGGATCATCATAGATTGAAGCACCGAACCTTTTCCTCATCTCGTAGATGAACACCTCCCAGCTGGGTAAGGCTCCTCCCCTCTCCATCCATTGATACCAGGTGGAT